ACATTGTCACACGGGGGGCTTCCACGGGTACGAACGCATCTCTGAAATCTGATTTCTGCCCTTTCTGGTCCTCAGGTGGGTTCTTCCGCCAGACACCCGATTCCTTCCTGTCTGTCTCTGGCGGGTCGTAACGTCTGGTAGACTCACTCCTCCTCTTCTTCCTTCTTCCCTCTCGTGCACCCGCCTCACGCCTGCGCACTTCTTGTCTCTCAGGATAATCAGCTAGAGGGAAGGACTGACGCAGGACCTGCACTTTCCACCTCACAAAGGCCAGCTCCAAAAACTTATTCGTGAAAGGATGGTGAAAGGGGCCACTGTTCTTGAAGTAACGGTGACCGACGGGGAGGTGATTCTTTAAAGAATGGTTTTGTTAAAGGCTCGAGGACCTCTTGTCTGTCCCGCACATTTGTCATTCCGTCAATTTAGGAGTGGCGACTGTATCCAGGAGAGGATGCTGAATCATACGGTGGTTCTGTTTTCAGTCTTTTTAGGACACTCCTCAGCATTTTTATAATGACCGCGCTGGGTCACGTTCCTGCGCGGGGCACAGGGCTCTCTTTTCTCCACGCCCTCCCCAACGCCGGCTGTCTCTGTCGTTTTGGTGGCAGCCACTCTAACAGGTGGGAGGAGCTGTCTCGGGATGGCTACGACCCTGGTACCCAGTGAATATGCCGGGAAACGACGTGCGCAGGTGGGCGAGGGGGCCGCGCTCACACCCCCGCCGCAGCAGCGCTCACGGCAGCCGGGCGCGGAGGCAGCGCCAGCGTCTCCAACGGAGAAACGGATAAAGAGAACGGGCGCATAGATGACCGAGATTCTGACATACGATGGGATATTCATAAAGAAGGAACGTCTGTCATTTGTGACAATGTGGAGAATCTGGGGGACACTGACACTAAGCACAATTAGCCAGGCACAGAAAGACAAGCACCGCTGCACCTCACTTGCTTGTGGAAGCTAAACAAGTCAAACGCGGGGGTGAGGAGCCGAACGGTGAATGCCGGGGGCCGGGGGCCGGGGTTGAGGAGATGCAGGTGAAAGGACGCAAAAATTGCATAGTTATATAATTATACAAGCAGTTACATAAGAGCGTGTTCAAGAGCTCTATTGTGTAACGTGGTGACTATAGTTGGTAACAATGTATTGTCCTTTGAAAATTGCTAAGAAGGTAGATTTTAAGTGTTCTCATCACACAAAAAAATAAGTATGTGAGGTAATGCCTATGTTAATTAGTTCCATTGAGCCATTCTAAAAATTTTTTTTAAAATAAATAGTTTGGTTTTAGAAATAATTATCTTATATTTTTATTAGAAGAACAGTGCATGGGTAGATTTATTGAAGAGAAATGGACTTCACAATGCCAAGTTGCTTTATCCATGAATATGGTATATATCTCGGCTTTTTTTCCCCCATATATAATTTCATGTCCTGTAATAGGTTAAAACATTATTTTCATAAAGATGTTAGGTATTCAATGTTAACTGCTTGATCGTTTGTAGCCATGCCTGTTATTGCGAATGGAATTTTACTTTCTGTTTTATTTCTTAGTCGGTCATCCCTGGTTTAAATTATTTTTACTGTTTTTGCACAAGTGGAGAAGCTTTAGTATACCTGAGACAAAACTCAGCATAGAACCACCCACGCGGCCTGCCCGCACCATGTGTTGAACTTTAACCACGTAGACCAAGGACAGCGGTGCTAGGAACAGCGCTTACCCTGCTGTAGTGACGCAATGGGAAGGTCATGGGGGCTACAGGTGACCGTTTAATGGCCATACTGCAGACAGCATCACACCGCGGTTAAGAGCCCAGACCTTGTGCTTGGCCCACCTGAGCCACCCACTTGTGGCTGTGCCTCCCGGAGAAAGCAGTTTCTCTTTGTGAGCTCCAGTCTCCTCCTCTGTAAAATGGGGGAAAAAACCCAGTATAGTCACGAACTCCTTGAAGATGGGGACGCTTTCTGGGAAGTGCACTGTTAGGTGCTTTGCTGCGTGTGAGCGTCGTGGTGTGAACTCACAGACCCAGGTGCCGCAGCCTAACAGGCACCCGGGCTCTATGGTGTAGCCTGCTGCTCCTAGCACAGGTGTTACTGTACTGAATGCCGTAGGCAGGTGTGAGACACACGGTGTCATTTGTGTACCTACATGTAGCTAAACACAGAAAAGGCACAGCAAAAACACAGCACTTTAATGTCACGGAGCCGCCACTGTGGACGCAGTTCCTCCTTGACTGAGACCAATAGTGTCCTTTGCAGCAGTCTATAGTACAGGATCTAGGCTAAGATCCCAGAGGTGTCTGTGTGCGTCACTCTCTGGCACCTGGCAGCGTGACTCGTCCCATACGGTTGACTCGGTGGCACCTCTGCTGGGACTCAGAAACTGACATCCCCAAATACGGCTCTCGGGCACGCTGAGCTGCAGCAGCCTCCCTCTCCATCCCGTCTGTCCCACGGCACAGGCTGGAGTTGTCCTCGGAAGCTCCCTCATCTGCCCGAAGCCCAGACCCGCCAAAGGAGGAACGGTGTCTCTGGCCCCGCCAGCACCGTCCACGCCCCGTCCGCTCTGCGGCCCAGCAGCCTTCGTCCCAGGCCATTGTCTATTCTTCAAGCCCATCGAATTCTCCTGAACAGCGTTTATTGTCGCCCACACTGCTGTATTTCTCCCATCTCCCCCCTCCCCCAGGAAGAAGGGCACGCACACACCCGCACCCCATTCTCCTGCCATGCCCCGTGCCGGGTGTGCCGAAGCAGGTGTGATGCCGCTCCCCCCAGCAGGCTGCCTGCTGTCACCTGGTTTGCAGAGGGCAAGGGGAGGTTGCCCGGGCCGTTTCCTTTCCGTCCTCACAACCACCCTCAACGCAGCTGCCGACGTCTCCCCTCGCAGCCGGCAGGGGCTGAGGCCTGGGCGGGCTGGGGACAGGCTGAGGTGGCAGATTCCGCAGGTGAGGAGCTGCATTTCCATCACGGGTCTGCTTCCACTCCCCACGGGCAGGGTCCGCGTCTGCCGCTACCTGGCGCTTCCATCAAGGTGAGACGCTCGGGGCTCCCGTGGCCCTGCCTGGCGCTCCCGCCCCTCCCCTCCCCCCACGGACACGCTCCTCCCAGCCGCCCTGCCCCGTGATGCCAGCCCAGCCTGCCTCCTGGACGCCTGCCAAGCCCCGGAGAGGAGCATGGGGCTGGGCCGTCCCACCATTGATCAAGAGTGGTCACCATGTGGGTCTTTTCTGGACCAGACGTCCTCTCCCTGTCCCACTGGGCCCCCAGAGAGCTTGTTCCCCCGCCATCCCTTCCACCCACAGCCTTGGCCTGGCGTGGGGGCTCACGCCTGTAATCCTGCCACTCTGGGAGGCTGAGGCAGGAGGATCGCTCGAGGTCAGGAGTTGGAGACCAACACCAGCCTGTCTGCGTCACAGCCTGAGCTAAAGTGGCATCCGGGTCTGAGCACAGCAGCAGAACAAGCAAGGGAAAGAGAAATGGCTGCAGCTCGGCCCTTAACCACTTTGGTACGAGCGTCAACTGCAGTCGACAGTCACAGATGAACCGAGCGTCGACTGTAGCCAACAGCTGTGATATAACTTTTCTATTTTTTCAGTTATCAAAATAAAATTGTGAACATTTAAAAATAACGTAATGGCCAGGCACGGTGGCTCACGCCTGTAATCCTAGCACTCTGGGAGGCCAAGGTGGGCGGATTGCTTGAGGTCAGGAGTTTGAAACCAGCCTGAGCAAGAGCAAGACCTCATCTCTACTATAAATAGGAAGAAAATAATTGGCCAACTAATATATATAGAAAAAATTAGCCGGGCATGGTGGCGCATGCCTGTAGTCCCAGCTACTCGGGAGGCTGAGGCAGGAGGATCGCTTGAGCCCAGGAGTTTGAGGTTGCTGTGAGCTAGGCTGACGCCATGGCACTCACTCTAGCCTGGGCAACAAAGCGAGACTCTGTCTCAAATAAATAAATAAATAAAAATAACGTAATGAAAACATACATGTATATGTTACCTATTGTGATTTTCATTACAAGTAAAGCTGCCTGTAAAGTAAAACAAGCTCTCAGTGCTTTCAAGCTTCCCTCATCACACAAGAGCGAAACGGACCCGTCGTCAATGCACAGCACAGACTGCCATGCGGACTGTGAGTGCCGGCATGGGCGAGGTGTCGCGGCCGGTGAGCGCCTCACCGAAGTGGTTAAAGGCCCATTCTCAGCAAGATGGAGGCAATATCTCAAGTCTTAGAACCACACACGAGCTGGACGGATCACTGAGGCCCAGCGAGTTCCTCCTATTTTTATGCAAAAACTCAAAATATCAGATGGCTTTGTGGATAGCATCTAGGGCTTAATACAGATATCTTGAATCATAACAGGGGAAGAAAGTCAACAGATTTTACTTCCTATTTTTGTTTAAAAAGATCTATCCCTTCTCAATGCACCCGGACCCCAGATTCTAGAGAGGTACCCTCCTTTTTCCACCCTCCCGATGAGCAAAGGAACCTAATGGGTCTTGGAGCACAGGAGCGTGAAAGAGGAGTGAAAGAGAAACACTCTGAAAGGTGTTTTTAGAAACACGTATGCTAATTTCATAGGTTATTTAGGCCAGTAATTACAGGAATCACTTTTACAAATTACAATTCAGGTAAAGTAAAAATGACAGGAAGTACACTCTCAGCACAGGAAAACGAGCGAGCCCGCAGGTGCCGGTGTGGGATGATGTGGTCCCTCCGGCAGCCGCGAGGCGTGTTTTGACGTGTGCATCTGCAGTGTGATGAGCACATGCCAGAGAGGTGAGCCCGTAATTGCAATTTTTGGTCGTTGGAATCAAGTGTGCAAGGTACGAAGGCACCTTCTTTTCATTGTATTTCAATACCTGCTCTATTATTGGCAACAAACACCTGAACCGTGTTTTTTTTTCTTTTCTTCCTGTTACAGATCTGAGAGAAAAGCGAAGGTTTGCGTTGCAAAGGTGCCTTAGCGAAGAGACCCCCGTAAGAAAGGCAAAGTCAAGTGTTTCCATTTCGAGGTTTAATTACCAAGAATATTGGGGTAAAAAAAATAGCATCAGAGCCAATGCAACTCGTCTTTGCACAGGGTAGTGATTCACGGTGCCTAAAACTCATCACGTCCGAGTTTCCTTCCGTCCTCACAGCCTCCTGAGGGTGGGACCACGGCGAGGCCAGGTCTCAGCCCGGACTCTGCCTTCCTCCCTCCTCGACTTAGTGCCCACTTCCTCCTCCTTCATCCAGCCATCTGTCAGCCCGCCTCAAAGGGGCCTCAGTTCTTCGCTTGCAACAGACCAATCCGACCAGGATTCCTTTGCAAATGCAAAAATAAAACACACTCCGAATGATAGAATCCTATTTTTAAAATCGTGTCTATGTTGCTGACAGGCTGCCAGATGAGCAGCCTCCCCTGCACTTCCCTTCCCAGCCCCGGTCTGTGCACCCCGGTCTGTGCACCCTGGTCTGTGCACCCCGCAGGGGGACTTGGGCTCAGGAGGAGGAGCTGCCGGACAAGCCCCTGAGGACAAGGAGTGCCCTGGCTCTGAGCAGGGAGGGGCTCCTGCAGACAAGGTCTCTGGAAGGTTCTCCCTCTGTAGCTGACTGCCCCCGGAGCGAGCCCCGCCAGGCTGGCAGGAAATGCTTACCAGAAGGAATGTTCCCCAAGCTGATCATAATTGATGCAATGTGCTGTGGCAAATCACTTCCTGTTTCCTGATTGCAGATAAGAAGAACGTGATTGAATCCAGCGTTTGCAGCAGTTCTGAGCCTGTGGTGCAAACCCAGGCAGCTGCAGCTTTCCCTCCCGGGCTCAGCCCGGCTGAACCGCCCCTGCCGCCCCGGCTGGGCTGGGCTCAGCCCCTCCGCAGGATGCAGGACGCAGTGCACTGGTTCTCGAGGAAACTGGCAAGGACTCCCTGGCAAACACTTGGCCTGTCCCAGTCAGCCCGACAAACCCCGGCTTCTAAAAGACGCTGGAATCTACTCTCATTGTACAGAGACTGTCCACACAAAGAGCTTTCATTTCTAACAAAGCACCCTCTTCTCACCCCCACGGGTGACCCCATCCGTGTCCCTTCGAACCCCTAAATTGGCTCATGACACTCATCACCGATCCACTCTCGCTCCCTCAAAGCTGCCTGGTAACCAGGTGCTCACACGGGGGCTGGCCCTCCGCTGGGGTCAGAGAGGGGCTCAGAGGTGACGTGAAAACCAGGAGAGCGCCTCTCCGCCCAAAAGCGGTTTCCTGGGAGACTCGAGTGCCCTCTGTCCCGCCACAGCCTTCCCTGAGCCGCTCTCATGAGCTGGGCGTCGCCACAGGTGCTAAAGACACAGCAGCTTTTGAAAAGGTGAACAAAATCTCTGCCTTACGCAGAACAGGGACAGGCACAAAAAGCAAACCAACCGGTAGCCAAAGGGGCGTGGGAGCGAGGCCGCACGGGAGTCTGGGAGGAGGGCGGAGCGCGGAGGCTCCGAGGGGAGGCTGCCTGAAGAGCACAGGCACCTGGTAGGGAGCAGAGCCCGGCCGGGGCCACGGGAGGCCACCTGTGCCCAGCGAGGAAGCCGAGTGGGCCCAGGGCCAGACCCCGGAATGGGCAGTGCAGAGAGGAACCCAGGCTTCTACCTGAGTGGTCAGGGGCCCTGGAAGGCCTTGCACAGGTAGGTGACCCCTGACTCACTTCCCAGGGTATCCGTCTGGGTTGCAAGGGCCGCAGAGAGACCTCCAGGGGGCTCCGGCCACGGGGTCCGGGTGAGACAGGACAGAAGCTGGACCGGTCGGGGTTGGGGGAGCCAGCCCTGAGCACTCTTGCAGGCAGCCCTGCAGGACCTGCCCAAGCCACGGCCAACGTGGGGGTCGGGGAGACCTCGAGGACGGGTGTGGGGTTTTGACCTAGCAACAGGAAGGCTGGAGCTGCCGTCGACGAGACCGGGAAAGGCCGTGGGACACGGTAACAGGCAATACCTGGTACCCACAGGCACACGTGGTCCTTGTTTCCCACCTCTGGTCCACACCTGCCAAGGTGCTGCTGCTTCCACACGCAGGCACTTCTCTGCCGATGCCACGCACAGAACAGTAACGACTTCGTAAAAGTCTAAGTTGTTGCTCCATTAGAAACATAAAAGCCATATTTTGGCTGAAAAATAACCCATAGTCATCTAACATTTACATGGTGACGATTTTCAAGTGGGAATCATCATGCAATGTCATGAAAACAGAATGTGCATGTGGAAAAAACTGTCAACCGTTCAGTCTTCTCTCAATATAATTTAGAAATAAAAATTATTTGATTCTACCAACCTTCATAAATTCTACTTATTTTTCCTGTGTGAACGTGGTAAGGGCTAGAGTCCCTCGGTCTAGACAGACACGCGTGATTCAACCACAGCGACACACGGAGCCCTCGGAGGACCAGGGAGACCCATTCCGCGCTGGCCCTGGCCTCTTTCACCGTGGCAACGTTTCCCTGTAGTCCAAACCCCGGGCTCGCCTCCGTCAGTCCCACTGTTCCCCCTACTGGGGCCATTGTAATATCTGCCCAGTTCACCCTCTTCCCCGATGTAGGGGACTGACATATATTTTTCTAGTTTAAGAATTAAAGTTAGTGAGTAATGTATGTGTTCTTCCCTGAGCGTTTGAAAGTAATGTGTTCCAGACAGGCTCCCCGTGACAAACAAAGGTGTTGCCTAGAGGCATAACAAAGGACCTGAGTTGCAAGTAAGCAAGAGCTACCCCACCCCACAGCATTGGGGGTCTGGAGGCCACACGATAAACATCCTGTAAAATGGCTGGTTAGTCAATGACGGGTAAGACCCCTCAAGGGAGGGGTGACCTAAGCAAGCACAGCCGCCGAGGTTCAGCCAAAGATCTTAGGGGGTCACCCTAAGAGAAGCTGGGGATGAGAAATGCCATGGCTCACTTTGCCCATCCTTGCTAATCTCGGTCCTTTATGCCTAGTGCCTAGAGCAACCACCTTGAGATTCTGAGTCAGGGAATATCTGCTTCCCTAAGGCTACGCATTCCAGAATTTATGGCTGCCACGCCTGGGTGGTTACATACAGGAACTAACTTTAATTTTTTAGAGTATAAAAATAAAACTGACCCAGTGTATTATTACTCGAGTCAACCATTTGTACGTGTGTCTGCGTTTTCCTTTGTGTTCCGCGTTTGTGTTTTGTGTTCTGTGTTCATCCTCCGTCCTGTAACGGGCCACGGCATCCCGCTTTAATGCCACCAAGTGTGACTTCCTGAAGTGCAAATGCCTCTCCCCTGATCGGCTGGGATGCTTCGATCACTTCTCGTCGCCTGCAAAATGAAGACCAGACACGAGTCCCTCACGCTGTGGCTCCTGCTTCCCCCCTTCACTGGGCGCCGTTTCTCCTTGCAAACTCTGCACAGCCCGGCCTCAGCCCACTGTGTTCTTCCCCCTAAATACGGCCGGTCGGCTCTTCCCTTGGAGCCCACGATCCCGCTGCACCTGGTGTCTGCTCCCCCGACCTTGCTAAGCCCATCCCCAACCCTCGAGCCCCTCTCGCAGACGGCCCCCGGGAAGCCTTGGAGACACGGCGAGAGCCGGACGCCCTCGTGAGCGCGGCCACCACGGCCGGCCCTGCCCCGTCTCACACCCACCGCAGCTGTCTGCGCCCTCGTCTCTGGAGCACCTGGAAGCACCACTTCTCCCGAGGTCCGACACACCTGCCGCCATGCAAGGAACGTCTGTCTAGAGACAAACAGGGGAAACAAAACCTCACCCCCAGACACCGCTGGTGTTACACCACCCTCTCAACGCGGCACCCGTGCTTTCTGAGCCCCGAGCCGGGACACGTGCTCTGAAGTTTTCTGACGGAAAGACCAGAGCTTGCCAGGAGAGCAGCTGTCCTTGAACAGCTAAGAACGTGGCTCCAGCACCTTCCCTCTTGGCAGAGGTGGGCGATCAACAAAGAAGCCTTTGCTGTTACCATGTATCATCCTAACAAGTATCTTTGCGTTACAGATGCAGTCTTCGGGGCAGGGGGAATATATCTACAGACACCTGCAGCTCTTTTCCAAAATGCACAAATGCTTATTACACCAGTGAGGATTTTAAGCATTTCAAAGATCATTCATTAACCAAGCCATTTATTTGTTCTGGTATTCACAAAGTTTGTCGCATGCCAACTGCTTGTCAACCCCTTTCTACAGTTTATATTTGCAAGATAAATAAGAGCCCCCCACGCCCCCCAATTATAGCTCACAAGTTAAGTGCCAAGACAGGGGACAGGGCCGATCCACGTGATCAGTGGGCAGAGATCCCGACCTAGCCTGGTTTCCCTGCAGAGAACACGCTGTCAGGGTGGAGACGGTTCCGTCTGAACAAGTGGGCTACTTTTAAACCAGATGAAGTGTCAACACACTTGAGACACAGCTCAAGTGAAATTCAAATATCTGTTTGCAAAACAACTTGGTTAAGCACTTATGGCGTGTTTAGTGCACAATCATTGCTGTCCCTGTAACAAAATGCATAAGATGGGGTAATTTGTAAAGAACAGACACTTATTTCGCGTAGTTCCGGGTGCTGCAAATCTAAGGTAAAGGCACGAGCGGATTTGGTGTCTGGTGGGAGCTGGGTCTCTGCTCCCAAGACAGCACTTCGCTGCTGTGTCCCATAGAAGGGGGACCACGGTGTCACTGCAGGATACAGGGGCCAGGCTGTGTTCCCCAGCCCTTGCCTAAAGCACTAATCCATGCATGAGGGTGAAGCCCTCCTGACCTAATCACCACCCAAGGCCACACCTCGTAATACTGTCTTTGCATCAGGAATTAAATTTCTACGAGAGTTTTGGAGGAGACAAATAGTCCAACCCTAGCAGTGCCTTCAATGCATTGTCATTTTTAGTCCTCACTATGCTCCCCTGATGTGAATTCCCCAGATTGTTGTCTACCTTCTACAGATAAGGAAACTGATGCTAGAAAGAAGTTCAGCAGCATTCCTAAGGTCTCACGGGTATTAGCAGTGAGCCAGGTAAATAATGATTTCCCCCTGAAGAAACTCCAAAGATAAGCACATTGCGGTGGCTCTCAAAGGCGAGTTTTCTATTCTGATATCAAAGCAAAGCTAATAATTCCAAATCACCTTCTATATGTATCTTGATTCTAGTAGGTTTCCACTAGCTGCCAAAAGGTATGATTCTGAGAATAAGCAAAGTATACCAAAAGCACACTGATGCCACACAATGAAACATGCATATGAAACCTACTGACACCCAGAACATGCGTATAGACGCTGGAACTTGTTCTCGAAATCCCCTACACACAAAAAACATCTTTCTCTGTAACTCCACTTGGCCGCCTCCATGTTATAGGCATTTTAAATCCCTCCTACTACAAAAAAAAAAACAAACAAAAACCATACTGGCTTCAACATTGGCCCCACTACTGGAGAGCCCCCCGAGCTCCAGGCAGGGCCGAGGTGACTGCATTCCGTGCTGTCACTGATGTACCCTAAGTCTATTACACAGATATTATATCCTGCTCAAGCTATGGGATGTCATTTTATAATGTCACATGAATGAAATATGAAAGTCCTTTCCATTTATTCCCCAAACTCTCATTTTTATGAAGCTCCAATAATTGTCAGAGTCCATCCGACCATGGCTGGGCTCCGGGGGGCCGGGGGGAGCGGCTAAGGGCGGAGGAGGAGCTCAGCCTTGCGGTTCAGCCGCCACGCAGCTCTCTCTGCGAGGAAGGTCAATTAGAGCCCGAGCAGAGGCTGAGAGACCTCATAAAGCTAATGGACGGGAGGGACACTCCCTCAATGAGAGGCACGAAGGGCCACATCCAGAAGGCCACCACTCCACCGGCCGGCCCAGAGGACGAGCGTTGGCAGCT